AGGGGTTTGCAAAAGGTATTTGTAACTCTTGGGTCCGGAAGATGACAGGATAGATAGAAAGGACAGACAGATCTGACAGATACCTGCAGTGGCCAGCACCTGGACCCAGACTACTTGAGCTCATCACCCGAAAGCAACAAAACCAACTGCTCCATGGGAAGCAAACGATAACACGCTCCACATGTTACCGGGGTGCACAAATAGCTCAGAGGCATGTTGGTGCCTAATTGTGGTGATGTGGAGATGTACAAAAATACTGAGGCAACAATTGCTTTAGAGAAGAGTTTGACACTTGGTAGTCATGAGGAGATTTAAAACTCCCAACACATGCCTCAAGGCCTTTGACAATCGGACCCAAACTGCCTACCTGAGACCTTGCCAAGAAACAACACAGCCAACTCCTGTGAGCAAGTCTCCTGATACAGACAACATTTTGACTATGTAAATCAGCAGACAAATCATTGTGTTTTGCCTGTGAAATGAGGGAGTTCAGACTATTCATCTGTTCACAGGCTCAGACCAAATTCCGTATTGGAGCTCACAAGCCGTACACAACCTCTATCATCTCACTGCAAAGCGATACAGTGAAAGGCAAGGCTGCATTCACTGTATCTTCAATATTAACTTACTTATCCAAGAGGAGAACAAATTCTGACTAGATTACCTAGATGAAAAAGGAAAACCTCTGTAAGTCCTTTTCTTCCCATTTTCTAACCGATTTATCTACTTCATGTCAAGAATGGTCCTAAAGAAAATTCCTGGCATATTTTGTGTCAAAAACCTGAATAACAATCATGACTTTTGAAGGTGCTTACTAGACTGTTCTGTGCATTTGAATATTTTCTTTCACCATTTAGTCCAGTATTCTATGGGAGTAAATCATACCCTTTAATTAAACATTCTTGAGTATTTGGATTTTACCTCACAGATACACCACACCCTGCTTGTAAAAATTCCATCTCAGGCAGCCAAAGCGCTCGACTTACTCCAAAGATAAGTTATTAATTAGAATATCTGTAGATCATATATTTATAATCTGGTGCCATCCCTCCCCAGGGAGTCCAAAGTTTTATCTGCCAGATTACTTACCTGCAGCTGAAACAGAGCCATCGCTGGCTGGAATGTAGCCCTTATCTTGTGCAACTCCTCGCCTCCACTCTCAGAATGAAGAATGGGAGACAGGTCCAAATGGAGGATGTTTTTAAGATGTTCTGGATGTAAATCCCTTGAATTAAATTCAGCTCACTTCAAATATGGCTGTAGCTATCTAACTATGTGGGCTTCCTAAAGTCCCCATTCACTTTGTCTTGCTTCATTCAGAGGAATCCTCACCCTGGTCATGAACTCCTGCAAATGCGGAGGTGCCAGTGAGATGCCAACAGGCGTGATTTCTCTCCCCACAGTGGTCCCAGGTTTCACCCTCACCAGGCACGGCACCAGCTGGGGCACTGGCCCCATTCGGACTCAGAGGGGGGAGCACCCCAGTCTGAAATCACTGAAGGCAACGACAACTCACAAAATACTTCCCCGGGCCAAGGGGTAAAAGCCGGTGCCAGCTGTGACCTCACCAGCACCGCTCCCCGTCACCACTCGCCTGCCAATCTTCTGCAGCATTTTTAGCTCGCTAGGCGCGCCGGCTCATCCCACTCTCAAAACGTTTAGCAATCAAGAACAGCAATAGCTTGGGGCTGCCATGGCAGCCAAACACCCAAACAGGCAAAAGGCGAAACGTGAGAGAGGGGAACATCGTGCTCATTAGCATTAGAACACCGGGCTCATTAGCCATCACGAGCAATTTGATGAACTCAAAACCGTAACGTTCTGCAGTGCAGAAGGCAGGGTGCAGCCATCCCACGGATGGAAATCCACGGGAAATCCTGCTGCCATGAATGGCTCCTGCAGGCTGTCTCCCAGTGAGCAAGCCCCAGGCAGATGATGGAGAGGTGGTAAGGAGCGAGTGGTGTCTTCCAGCACCAGGCTGGGGCAAGGCTCTGCTGCCATGGTCAGCCACCAGCACCCTCCAGGCTTGGCCCTTCCACGGGTCAGCATAAACCCCCTCGGCAGCCTGCCATGCTCAGCACTACCTGCCCTTTCCCAGGCTCAGGTTTGGGAGAGGAGGGTAACCTCATACACCGGCGGACATCCAGCACACTGCCAGGTCCCAGTGCAATGCTCTTCAGCTTTACATGCAGCCCTCTCCAGCTCCAGAGAAAAGTCACCAGCCTGGAGGAGCCACTACAGCCAAGTAAAAAAATGGTCTCCAACCCTGGACTTCATGTCACACCCACAAAAGACTCCTGCCCTCCTACACCACCGCTCTCCTCAACCAGCATGCCTGCCTTGGAAACCTTTGATTCTCAGACCTTCCACCTCCTACGAGATGGAGAAGCAGCAAGGAAGCTAATGTTGCCTGGAAAAAAAAAAGATAAACATGCTCTATCTGCAGAGAAGGCAACCTCCTGGCAATTTCAGTGGGGAACTGTGTCATGAGCAGCAGATGCTTTTTGGATTTAATTCTCTTCTGCCTTAGCAGGCCCTACAGATATGCGGAGGTATTAGTGTGAGAAAGTCTCCTGGTTTGGGAAGCAGGATGCTAGCGAGAGGGGGTCTGAAACTGAAAAGGCAGGAAGAGACCTCTTGCACATTCTCTTCTTGTCAAAGGTAAAGGGGAAGAGCTTTAAGAAAAGCAGAATTTAAGCAAGCTCCCCCGAAGCCTAGACGTAAGAAAGATCCGACTGCCTACACAGGGCAAAAAAATAACACAAAACGGTAGCGCAAGAGGTCAGAGCAGTTTTATGAGGAGTTTCCCTGAGTCAACACAACTGAAAACACCAGGAAGTATTAGAGGGAAAAGCTTGATCCAAAATCTCTCACGTGAATACACTCAGATACTATGCGAGCTTACACCCAAGTGCAAACTTCGAAGCTTGGGCTCCCTTCTGTATAACATAGTGGGCTGAATCAAACCCGACCCAAATGTCCACAGCATCTGGAAATATGTTGATTCAGGGATGCATTTCACAGCTTTGTTAGTCACTGATTTATCAGAAATTACTCCCTAGATTTCCTCCTCCACCTTTCATTTACTTACAAGCACTTTAGTTTTTCAAGCACTTCTTTCTTTATAAGTACTTACTATTTCTCTCCTAAAAAGTATTTGTAAGTACTTTCTTCTGGGAAGCACTTTCCATCCATCCATCTATCCATCCAAATCTGGTCTAAGTCAAAACCTTTTAAGTATTTCCTCATACAAGTAACTCGAGCCAGGATGGCCATGTCAGCACGGAGAAGCTTTTTCTGGCCCTCTTTATGTTTCTGTCCTTTTTGGTGGAAAGGATGTTCAGGTTGTAATAAAAGGAATGAAAAATACATTAATCCTTATTAAACCGGTAGAGCCGATTGACAGGGCTCGGACTGGCTGCTTCCTCCCCTCTCCCTTCGTGCCCTTCCGCAGTTTCCTCTCCTCTTCTGCCACGCTTGTTTGTGTTTGGAAGCAGTGCGCTCGCTCCCAGCAGACTGGGACAGGCGATGAGAGGGGAAATGTCTGGACACATTCAGTCCAATTAAATGTTGGCATCACATTCAGTCTTTCCAAAAAGCACGTAGGAAACTTTAAACACCAGGCTGGCTGCTGCAAATTCATGCCTCGCCATTTACATTTCCTTGCATCAAGCCACAAACAAAGTAGGTATTAATTGTCACCAAGCCTGTCTGCCACAAGCCCCTCCTCAATATCATTCACAAATGGTCTGCTGAAACCTTTCGTCTTTCAGCAGATGACTTCCATAATCCCATGTCACTGACGAGTTTTGGCAGGGCTAAAGAGCAAACCACGTTTGCTGCTGACAACTCCCCTCACTCTCCTTCCTCAGCTGCTGCGGCAGCACACAGACTCTGCAGGGCATTCCCTGCCCGGCGTCATCTCGGACTCGCAGTCGCTCCTTCAAACAACGTGCTTGCTAACAGGGTTTTACAGCAAACCAACCAAGCCGCACGAGCCCTGCACGTGTGGGCTGCACACCAGCTTGAGACCCCCGGCCTCCCGACCAGCTGCTGCTCCGGCAGCAAGTGCTATGGGGTAAACCCAAGTGGCATGAGCAGCGCCTGCCTCCCTCTTCAGATGCTGCCTCGACACTCGCGGGCAGCGACACAACCCCAGCTCCGCAGCATGGCGGGTCGCAACCCCAACAGAAGGCACTGGAAGTTTAACCGCCAGCTGAGAAAAAAGCAGCTGAGGAGGGAGGGGCACAGTCAGCTCTCTCCCGCTGCTTCTTCTTTCTTACGTCTTAAATGACTCAATCTTGTTCTTCCCACTCCTGAGAAAAGTCCTTTAGAAATGGATGAGACTAGTCATGTAAATGAATTAAGGGTCAGTTTACAGTGTTATTAAATTAAATGCTTTATATACAGTAACTGAAGAGTTCGGCAGAATTCATGAAACTAGATTCAGACCTCACGTGCTTTCCAGAGCGGCTGGAAGGGTTTAAGAAACTAAACAGCAGAAGCTCACAGAGCCTCCCTTTGCTCAGCATTCACTGCCACATCCAAGCCAGCAACGCGCTCCCGCACTGCTGCTACAGCTCAGCCCTCCAACATGTGTTCACAGCTCTGATTAGATCCAACCGCGCGTTAGGGACGAAGTGTACCAAGGCACGTTCCCAGCCGATTGGAGTACAAACTGCGTGTCGGCAATCTGACTGCACAGACAGGTCCCCGGTCACCACTCGCCAGCTGAACCCTTGCTAAGTCGTATGCAGACAGAGCGGCAACCTGCTTGCGCCATGTCCACACCGCTAAGAGCGAGCAGATGCTCTTGCCTTGTTTTTAATGAAGGCTTGACCCACCCAGTTTAAAATACACTCTAAGGCGTGTTCACGGGCACCAATCTCTGAGGATGGGAAAAAAAATGTCCCATCGCTTTTCGGTTTTGGAGAATAAAGGGTGCTCAGCACAGAGCGCCGAGTTCAACAACCTGCGCTGCTCGTTACATGCTTTGGTACCTGCACAATGGGGTGGCCCCCCGCAGACGCCTTCACAGCCCCTCGGCTGCCTTCCGTCTCGTAATGAGCTCGGTGGTGGGATTTCGGCTGCACCTCAATACGCAGTTCGTAAGGTCCTGAGTGAGATGGCAGCTGCCAATCAAGGGCAGGCAGGGATGGGCTATAACGGAAAGGAAAATGTATTAAAAATTAACATCAAGTACACTATCACAAAACCACAAGCATCCAGCACTATTACTTTAGAGACCGTGTTTCGCAGTTCATCCTTCACCATCTTACATCTAAAATTTCATCAACATGGATAATGCCACGGCATAAGTAATTTAGAAGGTAATGGTTATTTCACGAAGATTTATGGGTTGAGCGTATCTGACGGCCCAGATGCTATCCAATTTGTAAACAAAATGGAAAAATGTTAAGATAGAGCTTACAAATATTTTAATAGATTGATTCTTGAACCAAAAGGAGAAAGGAAAGTGGGAAGACGCAGAGGAATTTAAGGAAGAGGATTTCTGCAGTGAAAGCGAATGCCAAAACAGCTCTGGAGGATTTCTGCATTTAATGAATCAAACGGGTTTCAACAAATCTGCTCAGTTTACAGAGAGTGGAAAGAAGAAAGCAAGCCACTTCCCAGGTTCCTTCCCAACAGAAAACTTCGCCAGAGAGTCTCCAAGCAAAGCCGAGCTAGTTCTGGTTCATGCACTGCAAGGGAGCAAGCTCCGAAGTCAGAAATTGCTGACAAATCCTACCAGCAATGACGCACAAGCCCAAAGAAAATCCAGCTCACTCTTCCAGCCCTCTACTGACGCGGCAATTAACTGGAATATTAAGGACTCATTACCATCACACAAGCCAGCAGGCCCGACAGCATGCGACGGTGAGGAAGTGTCATTCTTAGCAACCCACTTCCACACTTGAAAATAGTCAGGAGAGCTGGGCTGTAGGAAATGCCCAGCTGACACTTGGAGTCAAGAAAAAAAAGAAAAAAGAAACAAACAAGCACTGCAGAAACTGCAGGCCTGAGACAAATTTATTGATATTAAAATCAAAGCAAAAAGCCTCATGACAAAAACACTGATTTTCTGCCTAGCGTATATGCTTTCCTTTGGTGAATTCTCCTCACCGAGTGCCCTTCACCAGTAGTTAAACAGCACAACCGCAACACACTACCCTGCCCTCTTACTTCAAGCTTTATTATCTCTCCCATCAGCCTGGAGAAGACGACCACCAAGCAGAAAACCACGGTCAGTCCTCGACTCTTTGTCGTCACCACGGACTGGGTGGACTGGGGCTCGCCACGGCGAGAGGGCTCGTCCCACCGCAGCAGGCAGACGAGGACGCTGAAGGGCTCGCGAGCTCTCGCCGCATGAGCTGTAGGGGCCAGAGCACATATTTAAATGAGAGTTAAACCACTTTCTACCTCTGTCAGATAAGAAATTATTCCCCTGAGGTAGTAACAGAAATGTTAGACTTAGTCCTTAAGGACTATGTGATTTGATGAATATTACGACATTTGAGGGGTTCACGGCTTACTAACTCCAGCTGAAAGCGCTTGTAGAGATGCTTGGGCTGTCCATTGCACCGCTACAGCCCCGGCGCAAGGACGGCCCGAGCGGTGCGAATCGCGTCTGCAACAAGCAGGCTGGGAGGGAAAGGATGCAGAAGAGCTCCCGTGCTGGACGCACACGCTATAAACACACATTCAGCCGGAGACTGAACACTCCCTTTCCCCGTCCCAGGGACCCACACGCTAACCCAGCGCGCCTGCGGCTCCTCAGCCATTACAGCTCCCGCACCCCCCAAAGCATCCCTGCTGTCTCCCACCGCAGGACCCTTTAACCTCTTGCGCCAGCTTTTTCTTTTTTTTATAAAGTGCTTATCCAGCCCTTTATCAGCAGCATATTTAACTTCTCTCTGCTAGTGCCTATGTGCATGTACACTGGTGCGGCTTCCAGGGGGGCCAAAG